AAATACCTTATTTAAAAGTGGCCTCTGACAAGATTTAGGGCTTGTGATTCATTCCTCTGATGTCATGGAAATGAAAGAAATGTGTGTCAGCTGGCCATGTCTGCAAAGGGGGTAAAGAGGCATCAGAGAAAGGCAGTGAATGCACATCAGAGAACACTGAAATTGCCTTAATCTGAAGAGCATGATTTGGTGTTTCCTGCAGGAAACTGCACTTGAAAAGTTTTAATCAGCAAGAGTTGTCACTCGAGTTAATTCTGAATTAATCTTATTTTATCACTAAATATTTCTATTCGCATTGCTGACACAACAATCTTGGCTAAGAATTCCAAATTCCCAACTGGCAACTTTAATGGACACTCCCATGCTGAAAGCTTAGGGATTTATCACAGAATCATAGAATCCTTGAAAATCCTGGGTTGGAAGGGACCTTAAAGATCCTCCAGTTCCAACCCCTTGCCATGGTGGTTTAGGTTTAAACTGGGACATGCTCTCTCCAGTGAGCTTGTCCATGCAATACACCTAAAGGCAGACTGCAGAATTACCAGGAGAAATGAAATTATCATGATTTCTTAAACTTTCCTCTGTTAAAACACCATTTCCCATTCTAGCTTTAAAAAAAAACCCACTTGTACTCTCCATATTAAGGTCTATAAACTTCACACTTAACTTTTTATTTCTGCTTTATTCCTCTTCTCTGCATTGCCAAATATTGCTTTTGTGTAATTGAAACAGAGCTGTAGTTTGATTATTAAACAGGGAAAGTAATTGTATTTGGCTGTACAGGGGGAAGTAAAGGTGCTTCATAGAAAAAAAAAAACAAACTTAAAATGTGGAAAAGTTGTTTTTTTTTCAGAGCAGAAGTTGAGGGCAAATGCTCCTGGGGGGTAACAGTCCCACCACCAAGGAGTCACCTTCTAGTTTCATGGGGTGGCTCAGGGATATGGGTTTGACAAGACAGTTTGTAGGGAGGGTGTACATAATTTATTTCTCTTCTCCATCCCTCTTCTCTATTCATTTGTGCCCCAAAATAAGACCCTCCCCATGTTGTAGGACCTGACCTGTTGTTCAGCCTGGCTTTGTACCTGCAGTGTGGAATTCTGGTGGGAACAGTGTTTAGGAGGCTGGAGTAAAATGAGGGTATCAGATGTCCTAAGCACCGTGGGTGATTTCCTGTTGGGAGCCCAAGAAGACAGAAATCAGCATGTGGCACTGTCTGGGTCCCATTTTTAACCCCACCATCAGCAGAGGACCACGCAGAGCTCTGCCACAGCCCTGATGGCAGCGAGTCAAGTGACACACCTGATGCTTTGCCAGTTGTGACATGCCTGGGCAGAGGACACTCCTGTTTTATCTGCCACAGTTGCTTAAAACCAAAAATAACCACTCATGTTACAGTGCAAAGTTTGTGGTGGGTAACAAAGGTGCTGATCTCGGGCAAAAAAAGCCCAGGTGGGAGAGAGCTCTAAGCAAAGACGGGCAGGATTTATTATATTTGCAATTCTATTTATCTTTCCAGCTCCTAAACCAGCTGCCCCATGCAAAGGACACATCCCTGAGTTCCCCCAGCCCCCTGGAAGCTCCTGCCTGGTTTTGCCCAGCACGGGTGTCCCTCCATGGCATTCCCAGAGTGATCCCGTTATCCCGGGAGCAGATGCCGGGTGGGAAGCAGTGCCTGCCTGCAGATCAAGTTGCTGCTGCCAACTCTCGCGAGCTTTATGTCAGAAACACTTGATTATAATGTCAGCACTGGCCAATTTACAGGCTTAAAGCAGCAGCTGCACAACTGCATTTCCCTGAGGTACCCAAAGATCCCGACTCCTAAAAACTTTTGTAGCTCTTGTAATAGAAGTGGGGTAAGTGATTCTCTCTTTCCATGTCTCTGTCTGCCAGGAAAATTTACAGTTCAGCTTGATTTGTACGGGGATTGGGATCTTTTAAAACGTTCTGCTCTGCCCATTTGTTGCTCTCCTGGGAAAACTCCCTCTGCTCTGGGAATGCGGCGTGTGTATCCAACCTCAGGATTATTCAAGGGATCCTGGGCTAAGTAAATTAAGCTGAGCTAGAAATCACTTATTAATTCAACCGTCTTTCCTATTTAAATAGTGATTTTATAGCCCTGTGTATAGATTTTTTGGCTGGGTAGGGATTTGCAAGGGGAGGAAACAGTCATTGAAATAAACAGTGTTCCCTTGCTGAATAAGAATGCAAAAGTAGAGTCTGTTTAACTTTTGCTGGAGGAAACTACTCCAGCAGCAGCTTTTTAAAATATGCAAATACATTGTAGGATATAACTACGCTGGGTTAATGTTGATGAGCTAAAGCAATTTCTGACCCTTTTACTCTCATAGTAATAATCAAGTCATGTTTGTTTTGCTCAGTGTGCTTTACACTGCTGAGTTTGGTTTAAAGCAGCATTAAAAACCTTATTAAATGTAATATTTGCCATGCAGTCGAGGTGTAATAATAATCCCCTGTCACTGCTTCTGTTAATATTGGCAGAGTAGCTTGAGACAAGTCCTTTCATTCACTAGTACGAAACTTCTGTGTTTTTCAAGCTTGATCTGCTTCTAACTTTTTCTTTGAAATTTGCAGAGCTAATTTAAAAAGTACCCAACTGATTTTTTGTTATTATTATTTTTTCTTTCTAATATTCTTGTTTAAAACTTCTTCAGTTTCATATCTTGCAATGCTACAGTGTTTTCCTCCCATCCCATTCCTTTCTTAACTAACAGGAAAGTGCATGGGGGAATTAATTTTAATTACTATTGAAATAGTAAAAGCTTTAGAAACTTTAAAGCCTCTTGCTTTTCTTAGTGTTATTTTCTCTTCATATCGACAATATTTGAAATATCTTATTATTTCCAGCTTGTTGTTGTGGTTTGGCCCTGATCTTTCTTCACATGTTCAGTGAAGTGACAGTGTCAGTGAAGCAATGAATGTACAGAAGTAACTTCTCCCATTTCACAGTGGTATTGGGTGCTCAAATACCCAACTAGATCCCTAATATTAACATTCCTCTCAGTCATCCGAGTTTCCTTGGATGCCTTCATCCCTTCTCCATCCCTTCTCCATCATCATCCTTCTCCCAGCTCTAGTGGGCTTTTAGGATCTTGGTGGAAGAGTTTGGGTCTGGTTTCGCAGAGGGGCTGAGATGAGCCCTGGGGTGCTCAAAACCAGTGAAGTTTTAAGAGCAGATTTACTGAGCAAACCAGGTTATTTTTCTCTCCTCTCATTCCGTGGCATCTCTTAAATCTTCTTGAGAAAATTTCAAAATTAAACACACCGTGTTAAAAAGTGATCCCAAGTGAGAGTAGAGTCTGTGTCGGTTTGGCAGGCTGGAAATATTCAGCAGACTGGTTAAGTTATGCCAAATTCTCTCAAAGACAGCGGGATTTAGGCTTGAGTGTTTTAGCAAACTAGGGTAACTAAATACAGGCTCTTGCTTTGGTCCTTGTGGGGGTTTGGGCTGGATCTCAGGAAAAGGTTCTTCCCTTTGGAAGGTGGTTGGGCACTGAACAGGCTCCCCAGGGCAGTGGGCACAGCCCCAAGGCTGCCAGAGCTCAAGGGGCAGGGTGGGATTGTTGAGGTGTCTGTGCAGGGCCAGGGGTTGGACTGGATGATCCTTGTGGGTCTCTTTCAACTCAGAATATTCTATGATTCTCTAAGGCCACAAAGGGAGAGGAGCTAAATGCCACTAACTGATGTGAGTGAGCCTTCTCTCCGTGCCAGAGCGAGTCTTGCTCACCCAAACTCCTTGGGAAATGCTGGACCACATGAGTTGACAACTCACATCTCTAAAATTGAGCAAACAGGGGTAACTTGCAGATTTCTGCAAGTCAAGCTGAAGGTGGAGTGTGACACCAACTCTGTTGTTCCCATTCACCACCTTATCTATTTTTTTTAACACGGCAACAAGATAAAACAACATGTTCCTGCTTATAAAATTTATCTATTTTCTATCTGTTTTGATGAATGATAAAAATATCCTTGAAGATTCCCCCCTGCTCCTTTGGTGCTGTCTCAAAGTTAGGAACCTCTTTGCACAAAATATTCCCTTTCCCCCCCCTCTGCATTTTCTTTCCAAGAACAGGCTAACAATCAGAAGGAGCTCAAACTAGGCCACAGCTGTATTTTCCATACAAATTGGCCTCATTCCTTTTAAGGACACAAATTCTCCTCATTAACAAAGAGTGCCCTGTTTAAAGGGGCAGGACAGAGTACATGATGTACTACAGGGCAACAAGCGAAAAATAGAAGGGAGCTTTGTTGAGCATTTTCAGATATGTAAACCACAGAAATGGATTTATGCAAATAGTCTTTGTCTGCATTTTCACTTTCAAGAGGACAGTACTATGGTTTTATAGCATTTGAGGAGGTTGGGGTAAATCAGACTATTAGTACTTATATGTGGTATATAATCAGCTTTTATTCCCCCAGCTTTTAGATAATACTAATTATCACTTGGAAAGGTTCTCAGGAACCAATGAGTGGACAATATGTAAATTTTTAGGCATCATCTACATGTATTCAAAGGTCCTTGATGTTTTAGCATTTTAATGTTCATTCTAAGTAGCAGAAGTTTGATTACTACTTTGTAGGACTCTGATGGTTGTAAACTTGCTTGAACTCCTCTAGAGAAACAAGATTTTGAAAGACATGACTCATTTAAGTCTTGACTAGCATTTAAGTCACCTGCTAACTGGAGTAATCAGAGCCTGTTTATATGACTTTACCTTCCCTGGTCTGGCTCATTCAGTTCTGTGTTTTTTAGCAACAGAATTTGTCTGAAGTACTGACTAAATACAAAATACCAAACACAGTCTTTGCAACACAATGGACAAACGAGAATTTATGGTCAAATACTTCTGAGCTTTGTGCAGCAGCACCATCTTATTTTCAAAGCCCCTGGGATGGCCTACACCCTTATTTAATAGCTCATTTTGGCTCTGGTAGTAACATATTGCAACACTAATTCTGAATTTCTTTTTCGTGTGTTTCAGGCATCATGGTTTGGGCAAATGGTCCAAGTCTCTCTACCAGGTTTCTGATGTGGTTTCTTCTCCTGTACATGTTCATCAGGAAGGTGGTGCCTGAAGACAACATCATTACAACCAAGAAAGGAAGGGTCAGAGGGACAAACCTGCAGGTCCTGGGGGGAACTGTGACAGCCTTCCTTGGAATACCTTATGGACAGCCACCCATGGGCAGACTGAGGTTTCAAAAGCCAGAACCTCGGGAGAAGTGGTCGGATGTTTGGGACGCCACAAAACACGCCAACTCCTGTTACCAGCATATAGATACAACTTACCCGGGGTTTGCTGGATCAGAGATGTGGAACCCAAAAACTAACCTGAGTGAAGACTGCTTGTACCTTAATGTGTGGGTTCCTTCTCCCAAGCCCAAGAATGCAAGTGTCATGGTGTGGATTTACGGAGGTGGCTTCGAGTCTGGGTCCACTGCCCTGCCTGTCTACGATGGAAAGTTTCTGGCCAGGGTAGAAAGGGTTGTCGTGGTTTCCATGAACTACAGGGTCGCTGCATTAGGATTTTTGGCTTTGCCAGGAAACCAGGAAGCTCCTGGAAATGCAGGTTTGTTTGATCAAAGGTTGGCCCTTCAGTGGGTGCAGGAGAACATAGCAGCCTTTGGAGGCAACCCAAAAAGCGTGACGATATTTGGGGAGAGCGCTGGCTCAGCCTCTGTCAACTACCACCTCCTTTCCCCCAAAAGCCATCCTTTATTCACCAGAGCCATCATGCAGAGTGGATCTGCCAATGCCCCTTGGGCTGCAATCACAGCATCTGAAGCCAGAAACAGAACAGTGGCTTTAGCTAAACAGCTCCAGTGTCCCACCAGCAACGAGACAGAGCTAATTCTCTGCCTCCAAGACAAGGACCCGAAGGAAATACTGGAGAACGAAATTTTTACTGTTCCAGGCGGCTCTTTTCTGCAAGTATATTTTTGTCCAACGGTGGATGGCAATTTTCTCTTAGACATGCCAGAAAAATTGATTGAGAAAGGCCTTTTCAAACAAACACAGATCTTAGTGGGTGTTAACAAAGATGAAGGGTCAGGATTTCTAGCATATGGAGTCCCTGGCTTCAGCAAGGATAGCAATGGCTTGGTCAATAAAACCCAGTTTGAGACAGCCTTAACTCTGGCCTTCCCAGGGGTGAGCAAACTTGCAATAGAATCCATAATCTTTCAGTACACGGACTGGGAAAACGAGCACAAGCCAGAGCACTACTGTGATGCCGCGGACGACGCCGTCGGGGACTACAACATAATCTGTCCTGTCATGGAATTCAGCACAAAATTCGCCCAGCTGGGAAACAACGTGTTCTTTTACTTCTTTGAACATCGATCCTCCAAGCTGCCTTGGCCTGAGTGGATGGGAGTGATGCATGGCTACGAGATTGAGTTTGTGTTTGGGTTGCCCCTGGAGAGAAAGGTGAATTACACCAAAGCTGAGGAAATCTTGAGCCGCTCCATGATGAGAGACTGGGCAACTTTTGCCAAAACTGGGTAAGTTTACTGTGGAAATTGGTTTGATTTTTGCCTGTTGTTTCACCAGCGGAAAAAGCTTAATGGTTTTGGTGCTGCCTGGAATGCTGAGAAGAGATTTATTGTTCAGTTATTCAAAATTCCTATTTTAGTTCTGCTAAAAACACTGTCTTAATAAAATAAACTGTTGATGTGCTGCTCACAGTATTGGATAAGCTTAAGAAAACAATATTTATCCACCCATAAAAGCAAGTACAAAACATTTCTTTTGCCATAGCAGCAGTGGTTACAAAGGAAGGTAATGGTTTCAAGTACTAGAAACATAATATTTCAGACTCTGGGAAACAGAGAAGTAGGAGCAGAAGTAGGAGCAAAAAACCCAATTTCCTTGAAGAAGTAATTTGATCAGAACATGCAGGTTTCTAATATAGAGGTGTGTTATGTACACATGATGAAGAGACTGGGATTTCAGGACATGCTTCCCAGAAAGCCTCTCTTTCCATGTGTGCTGCGAGGAGGAGCCTGGGCCTCACTGATCCTGATGACAAATCACTCCCTATTTCCATTCGACTCATCTGTAAGCGAAATTTCCAATTGACTCACCTTGTCCAAGCCTGGACAAGAAGCAAATCAGAATATTTCATTTGGATGTTTGAGATGGATTAAATACAACCCCTCGTTAGGTGCCTTCTGCTGGTGTCCAGGAGAAGTGAGGCAGCCCCTGCTCTGCTCAGCAGAGTTTTGGGCTCTCAGTGCAACACTCAGTGGGAAATGAAAACATTTCAGAGCAATAAGAAAACCATCCAATGCTGCAGTCATGTGTGATTAGTCTCAAGGCTGCAAACCTGATGAGATGGGGAGGGATCTTGTGTTCCAGAAGCTCGGTTTGTGCTCTCTCCTGAGAAAATCATATATATAAAACTATTTAGAACTCACAACCAAACACTTAATTCACACTACAAAGTGTTTATTTAACTTGAATTTCAAAATTGTGCATTAATTCTGTTTCTAAGGTGAAAACCATTCCTTGGATTTATATATAGATTTGTAAAGGCTGAAATCAGCGTTGTAACAGGATCTAATTAATTTTCTTAGTAGATTAGAAACCAGGGGAGACCACTGTGCTCATTTAGTCCATACAACCTTGTACTAACTCAAAACACAGGTAGGACTTACACATTTCCAGTGATTAAAAACCCAGAACAAACACTGGTAGGTTGTTCTACAGTTTAATTACATTTAAAAGGGTTAGAGTTATAAAAATAAGTTTTGTCTCTAGTCTGAATTTGCCTATTCTACTTCTACTTTTTCCAAGCACTATGTTTTGTTTGACAATTTTTAAGCTTTATTTTATGATTTTTTCCATATAGAGATAAATATCTTTATTAAGGGTCTTTTCAAATAATCCTTAATAACCCTTAATACTTTTTAATTTTTTTTTGTTAAATAAACCAGGTTGTACTCTTAAGCCTTTCACTATAATGTGGGTTTTCTTCCAATTCCTTAAATAATAACTCTCCACCTTTAAACCTGTGATTCATCAACGCCTTGTTGGAACTTTCCTTGTTGGAATTAAACACTGTTGTCCCCAAGGTGTTGTAATTAAAGGTGTCATCTATCCCTTCTAGTTCAACCTGATAGTCCCTGCTTACTCATCCAAGGGTTGCCTTGGTTTTCGTGTTATCTAAGATGTGATTGATTGATTGATTGATTACCTTGGTTTGTAGGAATATTAATTACCTTAACAACTCCTATCCCCTTTACATGTTTGGACCTTGTAATATTTCTTTTACCATAAGTGGTGAGCTTATTAAAACTCAGAAAGCAACAGTACTCATCAATGCACAGTGTTTTTATACAGGTTTTATTATTGTGAAGTGTCTTTAGGTCCTTGGTGGAGAGCAAAGTGAGTGAAGGCTCCTTATTACACACTCCAGCCCTACAGGAGTTTGAGATCAGGATCCTACATCAGAGAGAGTAGATCTTTCCATTAAACACAAGTATTTCTTAAAAAGAAAATTCAGGTCCCTACTAAATTTTGCAGAACTATATTTACAGTTCTGTGAACCCCTTTTTTACCCTGGATTATATATATATGTATATAGTTAATTTTCATCTACATAATTTTTGTGTGTATATATATATATATATATATATATATATATATATATATATATATAAATCTCAATAATCTGTTGTGCAAACAGAGGACACTGACCCTGTCACTGTAGCCTGCTAAAAATAGACAACACAAGGTACATTCAGGTTGAAGTTTGCAGAAGACAGTCCTGTCATCTAGTCTGATTATCATTCACACTATAATTAGATTACCCTACAGATTGAATTTCAAGTGGTTTCCACAGCAAACAGCAAAATAATCCCTCTCTTTGCTTCCACACAAGTATCAAAAGCATCACTATTTGGATAAACAATAAAATTGTGCAATTTTTGTAACAGTAAAAGGTGAGGATTAACCCACTATATGACACTTTAATCCCTGAGCAGAGCACAGACACCTCAGGCTCTGTTACACATTATTCATAGTGTACAATGGGTGGGGAAGTAATAAAAATTGCTAAAAATTCCAAGATTAATAAGTGATTCTTGTTTTCCTGGCGTATTTGAGCACATGGTAAACATTTATAAAGAACTGGGGAAGCCCTGCTTTGATATAATGTTTATAGGAAACTCTGGCATGATCAAAGGGCAAACCTCTGAGGGGAAAATTACCATTGATGTCTCCAGCAGATGAGGAGAAAATCAAGCAGAAAAGATGAAAATGAGAAATATTGTACAGCACTCTTTTTAGTGAGGGCGTTTGACCTAATATTCTAATGTGCAGAAGTACAAAAGCACAAGGGAGGGAAGAGGAGACTGCAGAGGGAAGGAGATGAGGTAGAGTCAACAAAACTGGGAGAAATCATATTTTTCCTGGTGTTTTCTGACTGGGAGGGACTGAGAGGTGGCAGAGCTGTTTCTCAGAGGAGTCTTTGAGCCCAAATTTTGACCTTAGTGGTCTTTCTTTTTTATTCTCGTGTGAGGAATGAAATTGGTGATAGAAAAAGTTAAAAATATGCACTTTAGGAGCATTTTCTGCTTCTGTCATTGTTTAACCCCAGGCAGCACCTAAACCCCAGAAAACTGCTCACCCACTCCCCCCCCAGTGGGATGGGGGAGAGAATCTGAAGGGTAAAAGCAAGAAAACGCCTGAGAAATGCCCAAAGTTATGTAAGAACAAAAGCAAAGTTGTTAGGGAGAAAAGGAGAAGTGATTCCTTCAAAGCATCCCAAGAGTATATGTGAAATTCTTGATTTCTGCCTTTCTCAGTAAGTAAAAGGAGACTGTCAGCCAGCCCAAGGCTTTCCCAGTCCACCCCCACCCCTATCAGTAGCAGATGCAATTTTCCAAATCTCCAGGCACTGCTTATTTCACATTCTTGCTAAAAATAATATCAGTGATAAGTGACCACTTTTCCTGGAAAATTACAGGCATCAAGAATTTTTATTTGTGAATATGAATAGGGAATGGCAGATGCAGATGATTCAGTAGGAGACAGGAGCAAATATCTGAAGTTAGGTGCTGTTGTTATACTCCAATATCCCTCTTCTGGACCCCTGGGAATAGTGTCACTTTTAGGAATCTGTCATATATTTACACAGTCTGTAACACCTGTGAAGATCCTGTTGAGATGGTCTTCTTTGACAATCAGCCTTTGCTTTTCAGCCACGAGAGTCCCTGCAGATCCATTATCCACACTAGGATTCCTCAGCCTGGGAATCCCTTGATGCTGGGGAAGCCATTACTACCTGATTGTCTGCAGGATTTACCCAGAGAAATAAGGTTATTTTTTATAACATAGTCGTAGAATAGTTGAATTGGAAGGGACCTTAAAGATCATCTTGTTCCAAACCCCTCCCATGGGCAGGGACACCTTCCACTAGACCAGGTTCCTCCAACTGGCCTTGGACACTTCCAGGGATGGGACATCCACAGCTTCTCTGAGCAACCTGTGCCAGGGCCTCCCCACTCTCACAGGGAAGGATTTCTTCCTCATATCCAATCTAAACTTACTCTAAGTCAGGTTAGAGCTATTCCTCCTTGTCCTGTCACTCCAGGCTCTTATAAAAAGTCTCTCTCCATCTTTCTTGAAGTCCCCTTTCAGGTACTGGAAGGCTGCAATTAGGTCACCCCAAAGCTTTTCTTCTGAACAATCCCAATTATCACATCATCTAGTATTATATTATAGTATAGTACAGTATAATGTAGTATGAAGCATTATATTATATACTATTCTATCACACCATATTATTCATTGCATCATAGATTTATCACGTCACATAGTTTGAGAAGAATGAAAAAAAAAAAAGCCAATGACCTTTTGGGTCTGAACGTGGAGTATTGTGGTGAAAGGACATACTGGGAAGCCCATGGGATTCCTGGCAGGAATGTTCAGGGTCAGCCCTTTGGATTATTGCCAGCTAATGCTGCCCCTGATGCTCTGGACAGAGCACAGGACATAGGGGAGCCCCCACCCTGGAGCTGTGGCCAAGCAGAGTGACAGTGTGGGGGATTCACCCCCCAGTTAAACACTTCCAGTGTCTCTTCCCTCAGAAATATCCAATATGCCCATGATTTACTTCCAAAGCAGATCTAAGGAATCAGGGGCACAGATTATCCCTTGGGATCTTGGAAGGAGGGAGAGAGTCCACAGGCAGGGATGAGTTGGCTGAGCAGTGTGAGGTCAGTCTGGAGATGGATACTGATGTCCATGAAGGTGCGGAGAAATTAAACTACTAATAAACTGCCCATGATTTCCTGGGACTGGAAGCAAAAGCTTCCAGGAATGATAATTCTATTCTATCACTTGAAAATTTCTGCTATTTCATTATATAATAATTTTTCATGGCTGAACTTTTGGTATCAAGTAGGGTTGACCAAATATCCCCATTTTTCTTCGTGCAGTTAATGTAATTTCATAAAATACTTTTTTTTTTTTTGCATGTATTTGATCCTTGAAAGAA